AAAGTAATCCAGGCAGCTTGGACACACAGATACATCAAAACACAGCCCTGTTAAGACAAAAAAAAAACTACCCTGGAGAGGTATATGACTTATTGTTCCTTTATTAACAACGTGGCTTACAACTGTTTCAAGTAAAAAGGGGATTTATTTAATTCTGAATAAAAATTAAAATATAACTCTGAATATAGATTTTCACTTATTTACATGAAAACATATATACAGAATAGAATCTTACAGCAAACTGACAACATGCCCTTCGCCCTGGGAACTTTAAAAAGTAAAAACACCAGCATTGATTGATTTATATGTATATATATATACACATACATATACACACACATATATATACATGTATATATACACACATACGGATCTGCAACACACCAAAGGGATTAGGAACACAAACTTGGAGTCAAAACTTTCGGTACAAACTGGAATGCAGAACAATTCAAAGGTTTGCAACGTGCACCACCACKAACAGAGCGTAACTGCTGGCTGTGGAGCCAATTCCTGCACTTCCATGAGAGRCAGGAGGGTTTAAATGCTTGCCTTGTCCTACACAAGGCACATGAAAAGGCTCAACACCCCCTAAAGGCTGCATTTGAGACTCTGTCTACATGCCCCACCCCTGCCTGAGCATGCAGAAATATCACAGCACCATTCCCAAAGTGTTTTCCAGCAAGCAGATCCCTGAAGGTGAAGGCTGCTGGAGTAAATAACTGATGTGTTGGCATGTCCTGACCAGGTTTGGCACAACAGGGACTGGGAAATGGAGTGCACACATTTACAATGTGTAAATTATGGACATTTATATGTCCATGATCTCCAGCGAGGCTGGAGCAACAAGAAGCAGGGGGGTTGCCCTGGAAAGGAGCATTTTCATCCTGCCCCATCATAACACAGAGCAGAGTGTTTTGTAGACCCACAGACTGAACTCGGGGCAATGTCACCTTTTCCTGTGGGAGAGAGCTCAAGTTTCAGCCTGATATTTCATGTGRAGGTCTGGAAGGTGCAAGAGAAGAGTCTTCAGCCCGCAAAACCCAGAGCATACACAGGAGTTGGGTACAAGAAAGAAAGACTGATTTCCCCTCTCATCCAGCCAAGGAGCCTAGAGACATCTGAGCTGAAATCCTGTATCTCCACTGGGAAAACAAAATCAGAACCTTTCAGCACTGTAGCTCTGAGTCTATAGCCAGCTGCTTTTCTTCCTCTGACCTGGCCCCTGCTGGGACCCAAACCATCTTTGCTGTGAAGAAGAAAAGCTYTCAGGAATGATGCTCACAGATCCCAGCTGTGCTGTGTTGTGAGAGGTCCCTCTCCACAAAGACACCTCAAGCCYAGAACTTTGGCCTCTCTCTTTCCTGAAGCCCTCTACTCCCCTCTCCCACATCCTTGGCAGTCATCAAGACTTACCTTTTTCACTGCAAAAAWTAACACAATAGACTAAAAAAAAGGAAGGCCACAAGTATTTAAAACCATGAGCCAGCTTTGTGCAGTTCATGCGTCCTCTGCCAGAGAATTCCTGTGCATGGCACCAAACCACTGCAAACCACTCTTCTCCTGCAGGACAGCTGACATTTAAAGCATTGCTGGACTATCAAATTCCCATCTTTGATGACTGGCTCACATTCTAGAAGCAGCCATCAACACCACTTATTCTTCTTGCTGGAGTATTGTACCAAAGAATAAATGAGATCATTGAAAGCTTCTGCTCCTTTATTGGGAGTTCATGAGCACCTAAGGACACCCTCTCTTGTGAAGTCTGGCAGATTGCAGCTGCATTTCTGCCTGTGATGAGAAGGAGGCATTCAAATTTTCTGTTAATTAAGCATAGACTTTTTGAATTCTAAGTGAAAGAAATTGATGAAGACTTGGTCCCACAGCCCACACATCTCTGAGGGCCCTAACTCTAACATCAGCTATTTCTGGATCAAATCCTGWGTAACAGATTTARGTCTGGGTYAGCTGATGTGATGAAGAGTATTACYGAGGGGAAAATATACATGCATCCACATTTTGAAAGTTTTTACATAAATATCCTGTATAAAACGTCTCCAAAACTCACAGGACTSTGGGTGAAGGAGTATTTGTTGACTGTATCCAAGTTTTAAAGTGTACAGTCACAAGCAAAAACCCAAATCCTCATGTTCAAGATGTTGCAGATTACASAAAATATTTCCTGGAGTAAGGAATCAGCTTTGTAATCCCAGGCAATGGAAAACACAGCGTGACATATCTTAGCACCAAAATGGAGCCCTTGGGACTGCATTTATCCACGTGTAATAAAGCTGGTTTTAATGGTGCTCAGTTGCAGCATGTTCTTCTCTTTTGGCACTTGAATTTGGGAACAAGAGGAATGCTCTGAGTTCATTGTTTTCCAGATGCACTGCACCAGGAAAGCAGAAAATCTCTGAAGTGCCCTGATTGTACGGAGCTTCTGGAGCACTGAGACAGCACAGCAGCTCTGCCAAATTCCATTTGGTGCCCTGAAAACACCAAGGCAAGCTGTAAGGTGATCAAGTGTTTATTGTGGCAGCACAGGATTGCCTGGTTTGTCTCCAAAGGGCTGAGATAGGGACACCACACAGCTGGGACTGCAAAAGGCTGAAGGTTAAAGCCAAGGAATGGTGACTTTCCAGTTTAAGGCAAATTAGCTGCTTGCCCAGAGTAAAAAAAAGGAGTTTTGGTGTCCCACTGGGAAACTTTGTACATCCCAGCAGGCATCCCAATACCTCTGGCAGTGTGGGTCAGGCCATCTCAGATAGGAGATGGACATGGTGTGCTCAGATTTTGGTGTTTCCTGAGAGCACACAACATTTTCAGGAGGTTTCTACACCCTCCAGGACTAAATTATCAAGGGTTATGGGACACAGGTAACACACAAGAGCTGGAGACCCTGAAATCCTTCTCAGAGCTGAGAGGCCTTCATGCCTCTGAGAGGTAGGGAAAAGCCAGGGGTTGGTTGGTCATCCTGGCACTGAGTTAAAATACAGGAGGGTGGATGGGAGCKGTGGTGGTGAGCTGAAAAAGGAAGAAAACCCCGGAAACCAAAGATTACTTTTCTTCAAGAGCACCCATGAGAGCAGGAGGAAGGCAGGATAACCAGCCAGGGAATCATGGACATTCCCTAATTTAATGATTTAATCCAATTTCAGAGGTGGAAGCTTTGGGCCTACAAAGTGGGAATTGGCTGATTGTGCCAAGGTCAGGGCTGGGGAGGGAGCAGGGACCTGACCATGGATCTGTTCAGCCTCATGAGTGCCAAGCCATGGAGAACCCAGTGCAGACCGAGAGGGGCAGGCACCACACACTCTTTAGCCCAGCTTTTATTCCAAAAATGCCCATCTTTGGTCCTATGCCTGAACAGAGTCCAGTAACACCTGCACAGCCTCCTGTGGGAACACAGGGGTCTGTGTCAGTGTGCTGAAGGTCAATATACAACAGCCCAGACACAAGATTTTGGCTGCTCCCAAATCCTTGGAAATGGCCTTGGGTAATCATGAGCTCAGGCACTTCACAGCAGTGGACTTTTGAAGCTGATAACACAGCAAACTCCAGGACTGGGTGCCAAATTCACAACAGGGAAGGCAGAAGACGTGGCTTCACAGATACATGACTGTATCTGTGAAGCTCCAACGGCTCTGAATTCAACTTAGAACCAAAAAAACCCTCAAACTTACAGTGGTTTATACATCTACATTGCAAAATGAAGTGGTATTTTACTCTAGCAAGACTGGATTTCCACCATTCCCTTTGAGCAAAACATTCCAAAGCTTTGCTGATGTTCCAGAACTGAAATGAAGCCCAGGCAGGAGTAATTAGTTCCTTCTGATCTCTGCTCCAYCTGAGCATATTGTCCAGGTAAACTCCACACCACCCACTCTCCACTTGTGTAAGAAATGGCCCAAGAAGTTCAGCTCCAGMTTTTGTGGAAAGCAACCAATGCAACAGACAACAGCACCCCAATCCCATATCTCATCCCAACCTGCARAATAGGAGGAATAAATAAAAGGAATAAAAAGGAATAAAACATTTACCACCCAAGGTAACCTTCGCATAAAGATTTCAGGTAATCAACTTCCCTGAAAGGATAGAGAACCATAAACGAGGCAACACTGAAGAACAATGAAGTGAAAGACAAACAGTGAGCAGAGAGAAACCTGTGGAAATAAAAGAGCGAGCCCAGATAAAATTAAAACTCTTTTTTTTGTTTTCTTTAATARTTCGGGTTTTAAATATGATTTAACTTCCCTGAACAATCAGTAAAGATTKCCATATTCTTGGCTCAATGCTTCACCCATTCCCTGCTTGGCTGCTCTCAGAGTCTGTGTGTGTCTGCTCTCTGATTGTGCCTCCACGAGGAATTAGCTGCCATAGGAATATCTACAGTTACAAGGCTGATGGAGACAAAAAACGACATTTTTGCAGTGTGTCCCAGAAGGCATTAAATGTCTGTGACAAATCACAGAGGCCAGAAACTCCAAGAACATCAGAACAGTAAAAGAAGATGGATGTGGCAAGTGAAGGATCAGTGCTGGATGCTGYTTAGCAAACAGCCTTTCTGCTTCCCTTCCTGGGAATGTCCTCATGCGCCAGTTCCCCTGACAGAATCCTCCCAGGAGCTGTCTCCTGCTCACAGCTGTAGCACCAGGACTGGGCTGAAGCGAGAAGGAGCTGGGAGAAGCAGCCTCCCTGATTTTCTCAACTGTGCTTCCATTTTTCTGGGCACAAATCCTTCTGTCTTTTGTGGTGASACAAGGAGCAAGACTTTCAGGGGACCCTGAGAGGGATCCAAAGCAGTTACCAAACCAGTCGCACTGATACATTCACTGCTTCTGTCAGCAGGAAGTCCAGTCTAAAATCCAATTTTTTAATGTCTGCCCCACTGCAGAACCCTGTTCCTGGRTTTCTGAAGAACAAAACACCACCATTTGATGCAGAGGCAACTAAAACTCCCTTGAACTGATCAAAACTTCAACAAGATATTCAATACACAGCAGCTGAGAACAGATCCAATCCTGCTCATCTCCCATGTRAGAAAATTTCTGATGAAGTCTCAAGATCTGGCTCAGCCTGCAGCAGTTGCACCATCCCATTCCTCAGTGAAAAATCCAGAACCTCACTGAAAGACAAGCTAGGAATTCCCAAGTGATGCATGGCAGAGTCAATGCTTCTGCTTAACACACCCTCTGGCCAAGATTTGGATGTAGTCCAGAGTATTTATTTCTGAAGGTTCCCCCTCTTCTCCAAAGAATTTAAGAAGGGAACTGCTGAATGAGAACACAGCAGCTGCAGCCTGGTGTTGGTCAGTAGGTTGTCCTGAGCACAGCAGTCAGCAGGATTCCCTGATCCCAGTCTGTTGTCACCATATGGGCTCCAAGTCAGRTCTTTAAATTTAAATTTGACTTGGATTTAAGAGGATGGGCCTGACTCTGAAAGCTTTGATGTTTTGGTACAAGAACAGAGCATTGTACAGATCCCATCACAGAGATATTCTTGTGCACAGGCAGTGTGGCTCAGGATGTGCTGCTGCCCACCAGGTCTTGTGTCACCCCTGTCAGTTCACTGCAACTTTGTCTGATACCACAGAGACCACGGGTTGAGCCCCCTTTCATAATTCACTCAGGAACAATCAGTGTATGCCTGGTGTAACACTTTTTCCTTTTGTAAAACCAGAGAGGCGGGAGGAAAAAAAAAAAAAGCCCATTGATCACCAAGATCAAATTTGTAGTAAACCCCAGGTAATGCTACAAACRATCACTTGCATTTCAATATGAAAGAAGAGTGTCAGAGTTGTCTAAAATAAATGTTCACATCCAGAAATTGTCCTAGGCAAATCATCACTGTCTGGAAATGTCTGACCCTCCTCCTTGGGAATGTATCTGCATTGGTAGGTTTGGTGTGGTGACAAACCATCTGAACCACACAGGCCTTGGACCACTGAGCAATGGGCTGGAGAGGTTCACGAGGAGAGAAGCCAGCAGTCTGTCCATGTGCTTTACAAGTACAGAAAAATCAGTTCCATTTGTTGCTAGTTTTCTTTCACGTTTGTTTTTCTTCCCCCTTACAGATTAATTCCCGGTGCTTTCAATTCCACTTGTTCTCGGAAAAGAAAAAGGAAAGAAAACCCCTTGAACAAGTTGAAAAGTTAAAAAAGGATGAGGAACAAGGAGGAGGACAGGAAGGAACGGAGAAGTGCAGTCAGTTGGCATATTGTGCATAGAAAGCAACTTTTACTCGCTCGATCTGGTGGCACAGYTTGATGGCTGGACCCAGCTTCAGCTCCATGCACTCCTGCACCGTGGGCAGTGTCAGCAACAGGAGGGCCTGGCCATCGATGTCCTGGGGGAAGAAACACAGGGGAGATGGATTTGTTTGTGGACTCTGGAGGGCAGAACGCATAAGCAAGTTTGGAGGAATGAGAAGGGAATTTTCCCCTAAAAATTAAGTTCTTTTGTCCTCTGCTTTTTTCTCCCACTTTTACACTGCCCACCTCCTTTCCCTGAGACACAATATGTTTTTTTTCAGAAATTGTCTGGTGTCTCTCCATAGGTTCTCACCTTAAMCCCCAGTGTGGAAAAAGCCTCCAAGCTGCTGAAACGAGGGATCACTACAGAAACTCTGCAGAGTCCACAGAGAYCTGACCAGTCCCATTTCATGCCTGAGGAACTGAAACAGCGGGGAGACTGCAGAGAGACGCCAGGAGACAGAGGAGGGGGCTGAATGGAGAAACTGATGCTGGTCCCATTGCCAAATGAAACCCCTTCCCCACCTCCTCTAGCCCACAATTTACTCTGCAAACTTGTCTGCCTTGCTCCATGCCCTGTCCCAGSTCCATCCAGGACCTGCCTTGTTCCATTTCAGCTGCTGAATGACCAAGACAGAGGGTTGAGACCACCCAAAGCACTTGTAACCTCTACTCCCAGAATCCCAGAATCCCAGAATGGTGTGGGGCTGGAAATGACCTCTGCAGGTTCTGGCTTTCCCTCAGGCATAACTATGCACCAAACTCCATGAACCAGCACCCCAGATGAGCAATTTTATTGGGGCCTTGTGTTAGTTTTATGATCCTCTTCTTAATGAAGAGCTCAAGCCCTCTTTACTCTTTAATGGGCTGRGAAGATGATCAGGCTACAAAACTGCTTTTTACCCCTTAGAGAGGAATCAGAATCTGTGCACAGCAACTCAGAGACAACACAAACCCCCCAGGACAGCCCTGATTAGGCAGCACTGAACACACGGAGGATTTAGACACTCAAAGTGCTGCTTTGATCAGGACTGTCCATGGCTCAGGTTCTTCCTCCACTGAAGGTGGATGGCACAGCCCATTGCACAAGAACCTCAAAAGGAAAAGCTCCAGTCATCTGTGTTTGATTCAATTCCCTATAAAACTCTCTGGSCAAGGAGAAACAGGGTTGGTTGCCAAGCCCTGGTGCTGTTCCAGGCTGGTTAACGAATGGCGGGAGCCGGCTGTGACACAGAATCCTGCCCTGGAGAGAGTTTCACTCGCTCCAGATTCACCCTCCACCTCCTCCCAGCCACAGCAGCTGCAGTTATCCATGGTGAAGAACCAGAGACAGTTCAGTGAGCTGTTGGCCACACCACTGACTAAYTAACCACGCTTGCTTCTTCCTAACTACGGCTGCCCTTTACCCTCAGCACAGGCTGCTGCTCTTCCCACATAAATTTACACATTCACACTGGCTTGAGACAAAGAACATTGGCTTCTGCTCCTGCAAAACCCCCTGCTTARAGGGGAGATGACTGGCATCTCCTAAAGTTGGGTCATCCAAGGGCCTGACTGGCAGATCTTCAGAGGAATGCAGTTATGAATTAGGTGTCTACACTCTTGTGGCATCTACATGTTAATGGCAAAATTCAGGCAGCCAGTTTTGGCTTCAAGAAGCATTTTTCTGCTTCCCAGGTTGGTATTTTGTAACAAGGTGGAACCTACGTGGCCAGAAGAAAGCCTGGTATGTCACAGGTAACCAATATCTGTTTTGACACTGAAGTTCCAACCTTTGGGACATCAGAATGGGATCGTGGACCTTGACATGAAGGGACTGAACCTGCTGCTTTCCACGAGSGTCTTTCATATGGCTACTGAGTTTCTGGTCTCTCTGAGCATCTGACAAGGCTCTGACTCAAGTTTCTAAGGTTTTTGGGCCTTGCCAAAATCTATATATATTACTTGGCATGATGGGATCTAAATTCTGGTCATGATCTCTGTACCAAAACCCTACGCCCAGCCAGCAAGGTGGGATGTGCTGCTACACGAACAGGCACAGACGCAACGGGAAAAGTGACAAAAGGACTCCTACCTGCTCCTGAAATATTTTGGCAAGGGGTGCACAGTCAGTGAGTTTAATAAACCTCACAACATCAGTCACAGTCCACTCCAGTGGGTTACTGTCCAGGATGAGCTTCTCTTCCTCTTCTGGCTTAATTTCCTACAAAAAAAAAAAAAAAAGAAAAAGAAGAAAAGCTTTCATAAAGTGATGCCTGATGACTTTTGCTTTTCCTTTTACGCTTTCTGTACCCTCTATGCATCCACCTGTACCCCTTAGCCCACATGTTTGTAATTCCTGAAGCTTGATATTCCAGCTTAGTTTAGGAGTTCTGCTGGGCAGAGAGACCAAACATCCTCAGGAAGGGGTCAGTGTGCCCTGTGCTATCTTAAACCTGAGGCTCCAGCCTTGGGTGAATCCTTCTGTCCAGAACATCTTGTGTAAACTGAGCTCTGRCCTCATCTGGGGGGGATTCATTAGAATAGGGGGACATYACYGCATTTGTGAAGTTTCTTATTGGGGAATCCTAGATAGATATGCTAATTCCTGAAACCTATAAAACTTGTATCCRTGCTGTACAWGGGTGTGCATTCTGCCATCAAGTTGTGCACCTGGGATCCCAAATACCGAGGTAAAACCCTTTTTATCCCCTTAACCGTGTCTGTGTCATTATTAAAAACTGGCCTTTCAGGGCAACAAAAGCAAATTACCTCACGTGGAGAAGCAGGGCAGGTTCAGAAGAGGAAGGTTTGGCACTGAAGRTCAATTTTAGGTGGAATGCTGCTATGCAAGGGCACACACTCACCTCCTTGGTTTGTGTGCCCTTCTCTGCCTCGCTGCACGAGTGGGGTTGGGGTCTGCGGCTCCGCCGGGCTCTCTCCGTGGCCGGAGCTCTGTCCAGCTCAGCACCACTCCGCAGAGTGACCGCTCTCCGGGGCCTGCTGGATGGCACCTCGGCCGAGGACGTGTCCGTCTGGTCATCCCGCAGCTCTGAGCTCGTCTCCTCGCTGCCCGTCTCATCCTCCACGGCGTCCGGCTCCTCGTCCTCACTCTCCTGCACAAAACAGCACCCAGGGATGGACACAGCAGCAATGGGGTCAAACCACATCCCCATGGCCATGCTGGTCTGGGGTAACATTTATTTTAACTGAATTACCTTGTTTTCATTACAGTGCTAAGTGGATTAGCCCTCGATTTGGTTTGTTACGAAATATAGAAGAAAAAAAAGTATGTGGCAGAAAATCCTTTTTCTCCTCCTAACTAAAGGTCAGCAGCAATAACTCATCTGGCATGAAATGTTCCTCTCTTGGGCTGGGATTTCAGAACTTGTAACACTGCACATGAGCAAGAGGAGAAATGGAAAATACTAATAGGATAAAATTAAATTCAGGTTGATTGAGARGAAATAARTTAAAAACAGGCTTGACTTTAAGCYTTCACATTGCTTCAAATTACCGTGGGTGTTACTGGTCCTGAAAAAAAGGAAATTTTGGTGCCATTTATAAATATCTAGAGCTCAAGATAGCACTCTTTCAGCTCACATTTCTGCATACCACAGGACAGAGGATTTCACCCAGATCTCTCTGCTTTCAGCCCCACACTGGAGATGAAGCTGGAGGTGAAGCCCCAACATCCATTTAAAGTATTACGCCAGATCCTTGTTATTTCTGTCACAAAAAGCTTGCAAGCACACAYCAACTAATGAGAACTATGCATTTTGAACTTTATACACAAATGAGTTGCCCAAATGGCTCTGACAGCTTATTTCTGATCCAAGTGTGAGCAGGCACCCAAAACCACATGCTCAGGTCTTCAGTGAATGAGCAATTTAGACAAAGGCAATTGTACTGGCTGAAAGGTTAAAAAACTTGGCTAATGGTTGATTTAGGCTTAACAGAAGTTTAAGCKCCTTTGAAGCAGGTATAATCTAAGGAAATGAAGCAGAACTTCACCTAAATGAGGACCAAACCGTGAAGATGCAGGCAATCAACTGAAAGCTGAATAAAATTCCCTWCTCTGGCTGAAGTAGAGGGAATTTAAGTAAAGCAGTTTTATTTCACATTGCACAAAGCAGCAATCACTGGCACTCATGTGAGGAAGGGAAACCACACATGAGCTTTGTTATTGCTACCATGGGAAAAGCCCCAAGAAAACAGCCCACATAGAACTAAAGTCTGTTCCAGGTTTAATTTGGACACAAATCTTTGCTGAGGCTCAGGCCCYGTTGTATCACGCAGCAGAGTGGAAAGACTAAGCCCTCAAATTCTGTATTTGGGACACAAAGCATTTGCTTGTGTGCTAAAGCTTGATGCTGTGAGCCAAAAAGATCATGAACAGTTAATGAAAAAAAATAAAATTCCTTGAAACCACAATGGCTCATGAGCTATTATTATTTATTACAATACTTGGAGATCTTAGACATGGATCACAGAGCTCCTTCACTCTGCTAAATGCTGTGCAAAGCATCTAACAGGCTCATCAGCCTGCTTGCAAGCAAGCAAAGGAAAACAAGCAGATATCAGCAGTGTGTCAGCCAGCAAGCATTGTGAAGGTGGGAGCAAAAAATCTGTTTGCTGCCTCTAAAATGGACAAGGTAAAAATCCCCAAAGTGCCAAAATAAAAGCAATCTGACAATAGGAGAATGGAGTATCATGGAAGGGCTCAAAATAGAAACTGAAGTGTTCAGGTGTGCTGAGAAGACCCCCAAAGGAAAATGCAGAATGAGGCACAAAGGGGTTTTTGCTGATTTATCCCAGGGCAACACAAACCTCTGCAGAGCCTGCAGCATTGGAATCCACARCTGAAGACCTCCTTTTCTTCTGCACAAAGATGGATTTCCGCCTCTTTCTGCGTCTGGCTGGCTTGACATGGGCACTTTTCATGTTGTTGTTTTCCCCAATYGGTGGCTTAATGATTTTTTTCCTCTTCCCATAATAATAAGCTGGAGAAATGAARCACAATGCCCATTAAAAACTTGCACCACCACAAGAAGAAAACCTTGGCTTCCTTCTTGCCACAGGTTCAGGTCTGTACTCAAGGTGAAATTTAAACTGTTTATTCCAAATCAATGGATTTGAAAATGTCCAGCATAAATATAAGATGTYGTGTTGGACTGRCACAGAGTGTTACASCTCTGATGTRTCCAYATTTATTGATGATGAATGAAGACTMCAGAATTAAACAATGTGTGTTTRGGCAAAGCTGAGCATGATTTGGAGGGAGAGAGGCCAACAAGTTGATCCAGGGCAGGTGTAGACTTCTAAAAAACCCATCCTCAGTRATCTCAGCATCCCCCTAAGCCTTTTCCTCCTTCTACTCTGGCACCAAACAGAAGAGAATTGCCTTAAATCAATCATACTGCTTTTTGCAACCTTTGTGGAAGAACAGCACTCACTTCCACTTTTCTGACCTGTTTAAGAGCCAGTAATATCGGTAACACTGACAACAAGAAGTGCTAACACACACTGACATCAGCCTTCCAGAACAGGCAGGATCATGTCTAAATATTAAACACCCTGAGTAGAGTCAGTGTCCCAAACCTCCCAGCACCTCAGCACTGTGGTACTAGCCTGTGTTGGTGTCCATCCATGCCAGAAACTCTTTACCAAGAGGATTCACCTCCCCTAACAAAGCTGTCTCAGCAGTTTWAATCTCAGCTTCYCACTGCAGGTTCCTTTTATGTGTTYATTTTGAAGTCAAGACTTCCAAAAAGTAATGACTTTCAAACAGATGTGCTACGATGGAKTGAGATGGACAGTTCTCTGGTACAAGATTCTAAGGGAAACTGTGGTGGCCTCAGGGGTAAATAACTGCTCTTAGATGAGAGGAATCCTAATCAGGATTAACAAATCTCATAACTCCTGTTCTTCACTACAGCACCTCCCACTGCTCTGGCTCCCAGCCAGCACTGAGAGGGATTTCTCCAATACTCACTGTACTTGGTTTTGGTGTGAATGGAGCAGTTCTCGGGGCAGACTTCAGCCACCAGCACAGGGCTCAAGAGGTTGGGGCAGCACTCCAGCTTGGCACAGACCCTCCTGCAGAAATCTGCCACCTGGTCCGACGTCCGCACGATCTTCACCGTYGCCCTGTACGTCTTCCCTCTGTACCTAGGCAAGAGTGCAAGAGCCACATCACCAATCCAGCAAAATCCCAAGGTGCTACAGACCAGACTCTCCTCTGCCGTGGAGAGATCCTCCCTAGGGAGGACTTTTGAGAGAGTGTTTCTCTAGGGAAGGCAGGAAGAAAGAGGTCTATTTTTTTTAGTGGCTTTATTTCAGATGGACTTGAGGAAGGAAAGGGTGAAATAAATCGAAGGTGTGGACATGATTTGGGAAGGAATCCATGACTGAACTGGATATATTTGTAAATCGGCAAGAGATGGAAAAAAATCTCAGTAGGCTTGGTGWGGATACTGCACAGCACAGCAAGCCCTTGTTGAACTGATGGGAGGTTTCTGGGAGATGGATGTAGTCTCTCTTCACGTATTGACCCATGATCAGATGCTTACACATCCTGCAGAGCTCTCCAGTCACCTCCTTGTGTTTGGGCTGAGCTCTTTAACCCCCCAGCACACTTTCAGTTTTCTCCACTGCCATCCTTCTTGCTCCATTATCACATTCCAGCTTTCAACAAGCCCCACAACTCATGGTGCCAGCTGTGGCTACCACGACACACACTCATTGTGAAGGSTGTCTGAGTGAAACAACAATCTCTGCCACCCCAGGACCAGATGACTTCACCACTCTGAGATTTGGGCACTACAAAACCYAAGGAACCCATCAGGAGTCTCTGGAATGATTTAACAGTGCTGCAGCAACAGGCCCGAAAAACTGATTCCTGCAGGGAATGCTTGGAGCAGAAACCTGCAATGGAAGGTTTGTCTGAAATTCGCCATGCTACTAAAACATTTATTTCAGTGTTTTATCCAAAGTGTTTCTGAGCGATAAATGGCTGAGAAAGATCCAGTTACATCCCTGCTGTACAACACTGTAGATGTGAACCCTGGAAAACCAATTATCCCGGCAATTTATTGAACAGCAGCAGAGAGCTGTTGTAAACGGTGAGATAAGGTTTTTAAAACATCTCTGACGCATCCTGAGGAATGCAACAYGAGAGACAACCACGCGAGCGCCCGGTGCTGCGGCGTTATAAATGCRTTCAGAGGAGGGAAAAGTTAACACACACGAGTGAAAAAGAGGGAACAACGGTGGGAAAAAGATTACTTTGGATGGGAGGCAAGGAAAGACAAAGATACAGTCACCGGGAAAAACGAGACAAAGCCTTTGTCGGTGTGTTAAGATCCGCAGTTTCCAAGCAGCTGCTGATAGATACGGGAGAAGAAGAGGAGGAGGTGGTGAAATAAAGATGTGACCAGAGAGTTAAAACATTCAGAGAGCTCTTTGTGAAACAAGGGTTGTGGGAAAAGGGTTTGAAACTAGGGCACATGAAGTTTGCTTAAGGGGAAATCCAAATGAAACTTGTGTCTGAGAGCAGTCCAGTCCAACCATCCTCAGACTGCAGAAGACTCAATCCAAATTATCACCTCAACATAAAATCTGAATGAGTAACCCTGTAAGGTGCCAGGCTCTGATACCCATCTGGTGCCAAGACAACCCTGGATTCATTCACCTGAACTCATGAATGAATGGCTTAATGAGCCAACTTTTCACACTGCCTTAAGGACCTGGACAGAAGATGTAAAAGTGGAAAGTGTTCCTTTCAGGTAGAGCACTGCTAGGATCTCAGCTTCCCCACGAAACAGCTGCAGAGGCAAGCTGGCTGGCTGAGGAGGRGTTTGGCAATACCTAAAACCAGAAAGACCAAACTCCACAGGCATTTAAATGCATCTACTTATAAAAGTTTTATATTTCTTTCCAATGTGTTTGAAAAGACTCCTGCACTTATTACTTCTCCAGGAGCCATTAAGTTTAACGACAGCCTGGATGGTGGGGTCAGCGAGCCTGGGGCAGGCTGCAGGGTTTCACTGAGCTGCTTTCACCTGGACCCAAAGAAATAACTCTGGGTGGACTGAACCAGAACTTCCAGACAAGCACCAGCCTCCCCTCGAGGGTCTCCACACTGGAAGAATCATGGCAGGGGGAGCACCTGTACCTCACGTGCCTTACCCCTCTTTTTATGCCTGGATGCATCTGAATTTAACTCATTTTATTTGTCCTCGTTCTGACTTTCACCACCCGGATGAAAAGACTGCATTTGGTTTTGTTTCCCTGCAAAAGCACTATAATCAAATTGCCTCTTGATCTTCTTTCTTACAAGCTAAGAAAGCTGCCTGATGGGTATTATTCAGGGATGGCTGACTTTTCCTAACTGTGTGTTTCCTATTGTGTTTGGCTGCCCAGGAAGGACCCATTGTACTACAGAGCCTTCTGAAAGGAAGAGATGAAAACTGGGAAAATGAACAACTGACTGATTTCATAGCCTGCTCTGAATGCAACACACATTTTAATTAACAGAGAGGATGGCAAAATGGAGAGCTCCATGACTGCAGCCATCAGTCTCAATAACCCAAGGTGTTAGTACTGGCTGTGGCAGTATTTTTTACATCATTTTGGTCTTGGCAGCATCTCTTTCAACTATAAACCAGGTTCTACTAATATTTTCCATATTTCTCACTCACTAAAAGATTTTTAACACAGGCACCAGCAAATGTAAYCTGAGCTGCTTCTAGGACAGCCATGTGGAAGGAGCTCCTTTGTCAGAAAACATTTTCCATTTGCATCTCTCAGAAAGTTGCCAACTACCGATGCTCCCATTTATGTTTTTATACCAGGGATCCTATTTTCCCAACCACTTGTAAGCACCAAGTACCTGCATGCACAGCATGGCAGCACTGGGAATTTGGAAAATTGCTGTGTCAAGGATAATATTTTCAGTTTTCTTAGAAATTGCTGTTCTTTAAAAAAAATGTATTTTTTTTAACTAAAACCAAAGGAATCTTTCTTCCCTCTTCCCCCTTCTCTGCCCTCAGATCCCAAAATCAGAGAAAACCTTAAAGTTGAAACTATTTCCAAGAAAAATACAGTTGCTGATCTATGAGCAAAATRTTAAATGAATAGCACTTTGCAATGGAAGTCTTCTGTTAAAGCTTCCTGAAATAGATTAGAGGTTCATGAGAACATAATGTCTTGTAGGAACTGCAGTTAGGGACTGCTGTGTGATGACACAGAAAGTCTTGTGATGAAAAACTTCAAACAGCAAGAACATTGAGAACCTCATTTTTAAAAGCCCCATTCTAAGCTGTTCTGACAATTCTTGAGACTAATTKGAACAAAACAGTAGATAAACATCTCAATTTCCTTTTGAGGGACTTAAAACTCCTTTGTGTTCTCTGCAAGAAATTTCCATTTTATCTTTTTACCTTAAAGTTTGCCAAACATAAGGAGTTAACTTCCTTCAAAGCTATTTAATCATCCAGTGGCAATCTTAAACAGGATTCAGAAAGGGCACTGGAATGCTCTGGCTGTAAGGCCTTGYCCCATTAAGTCTCCTCCTGATTAAAGAATTGAAGGATTTAAGTCATTCCACTGGTCCTGGTTTGGAAAACTTTGATAAAAATTAACATAAATTAACTTCCACTGTTTTTTCCTCAATCCCAAACCCAAATGTTACCTCATCCCATCAGGCACAACTCGCCCTTTGCCACTTGCCAGTCCCCTGCTGGTTCTGCATGCTCTGAGAAATGGCTTCCAAAGGGATCTGGCTAACAACCTTTCCAGGGAAGTCAAGCTGACAGGCTGTAGTTATGTGGATCCTCCTTTTTGCCCTTCCTGAGGAGGGAGGGGATGTGATGGTTGCTTTTTTCCAGACATCAGGGAACTCCCCTCATCCTCATCAATTSCCAAACACAGCAGCCAGTGGCCTTGCAGTGACATTGGCCAGTCCTCCCAGGCACAGCTGGCTGCATCCCAACCACTTCCATGCCCTCGTGCATCCATTTGCTTCTTTTCCATCTCCTGTGGGTGACACTTCGCTCCCTCAAACAGAACCAGGGTCTTRGGAGGCCTGAGAGCAACTCTTGCTAGCAAAGGCTGAGGCAAAGAAGATTTCAAACACCTCAGCCTCACCTGTCAGAAGTGAAAGGCAGCCTCCTAAAGCAGCTGCAGTGGGAAGGCTTTCTTTGAAATGCAGCTTCATAAATAAGCAATGATGTCTGGCACGGGGGTGAATATTCCTGGAGTTCAGCTACTGGATTTGAGCAGGTCTCAGAATTTCATTTAATGAAGGAGTCCAGGAATACTCATCTTTATTATTTCTATCAGCTAGGCTTCCTAGACCCAGGAGATAACTCTCTGCACATACTGCTGTTGTGTACRTCCAAAGTCCTGCAAAAATGGGTTAGTCTCACTAACAGCCCTTAGAAATGAAAACCCTAAAAAAGCATGARGTCCCTTAAGCATTTTATGTAAAACTGGGAAGGCAAATCGAGATGTAGACACTGAACTTAAGAGCTTCAAAACTGTAAGGGCTGAACGCCGACAGCTTCTGCTGGTCCTCACGGGAACTCAAGAGGATCAARCCTGACATTTCAAACTCATCATCACCAATAAATCAGGTCTGACTCTTCTCACACAGAGCCAGCAGTGCTGATGGGAAAGGCTGCAAACATATCTCCCTGGACAATCCAAATGGTTTTATCTTCTCTGCAAGGTGAGTGGAATTGATTCTGCAGCGGTCACTCAAGACAGCGCAGTGAACTGAACGCAGGCTGCCCCAGGCTGAGATAATGCATTCCTGGCAGTAAAAAAACTGGCATTTGGGACAGGGGGAAGAAAAGCAGCCTTTTCTCCACCATCCCTTTGCTCTACCCTACTGCAGACACTGCAAACAAAGAGCAGCACTGCTGAGATCCATGGGGGTGGCAGGGCACATCAGGAGGAAGGCGGTGACACGATGGATCACAGCTGGCTCTGCAGCTGCCATCCTTAGCAACAGGCACCACCCAGAGCCCACMRAGCTGGAATTTGGGGCAGACACACRTTTTGCTCAYTGCAGGTCTCTGTCACACCTGATGRCACGTGTCAYATGCTGTCTGCATGTCCCACACTATYCAGTTTCATGACCATGTTTTCTTTCCTGCTCCTGCACAACCAAAACTTCTCAATGAAATGACTCCAGCAAACTCAGGAAGGAAAAAAGAAGGAAGTCCCAGGTAGCCAGACAGTGTTGGGGCATGTCAACCCTCTGCCATCCACTCCTAAAAGTACTCAAAGCACCCACAGGCAAGCTGGCCTGGCCACCAAGCACTGCTCTGTGAAGGGACCCACCCCAGAAGCCAGACAGCAGCAGGAACAAGGTGCTGTCCAGCCCCAGAACTTTGACTCCTTGGGAACCAGAGGACAATGCCACACTGGAGGAGAATCTATTGCTGCTCTCAGAAGTCATTTCCAAAGTTACTGTCCCAGCTCTGAGCCTGTAATGATCCATTATGTGGCTTAATAAAGTTGAAAGATGCAGCCTGGGGCAGCCAGCACACAGGAACACAAACGGGCTGTGACTGAGGGCTCTGCATGAAATACTACCATGMATGGTCACTTAAACATTTCCCAGGCTGTCTTCTATCAGAAACATGGATTGCAGCAGTCTTAAGAAATAGGTATTTCTGCCTCTGCACAAGGCAGATCCCAACATTCAAATGGGAAACCCCAACAAAATCCTACTCTGGATACTGCTAATGGGAAAAGCRCCTGTAAGCTCAGTTCTTGGCAGGAAAGAATGTTAAGATGGAGCATTACAGCCTGATTTCACAGTTGCTAAGTACCTGCAGGAGTGAATTATCTGTTATTTGTAGCACAAGATGTGGGATCCTGGAATCAGTGAAAACCAGGTCATGGACAARGACTGGTTTTCAATCAAAATCTGCATGCACGAGGTTGACTTTTAGATTTCCATCCACAACATCTCCAGTGACAAACACAAAAGCCTGACTTTCCAAATGATGAAAGAAGCAAATTACAACCAGGAATCTTCTAGTAGATTTTCATTTCAGATTGCAATCCTCTTTCAGAAAAGCAGTTTAAGTGAAGGTAGAATGAAAGTTTCTCAGCTCTCTCCCTCAACCAGAGAACACTGAACTTTCTGCAATATCTGCATGGGCAGAGATCAAATACAATAGCCATCGACAATGMTGTGTTTGGCAGCTATTCATATCCAATAACCATCAGAAAATTGCTTTTCTTTGAAAAGGAGTAACAGAGTTCAGTACAAAGGGTGAGACTCACTGCATTTAACTGCAACACTTGAAAAGTCAAGGTGACCATTAATCAACAAAGAGAGCTTTCTTCAAAGAACTATTTGTTGACATCCACCTTCAAGTGGGAAGAATTGCTCTTCAGAAGGACTCTGGAGAGAGCTTAGGTGAGACTCTGTTCTTTCAGAGTCAGTGGTTGTTGAAATACATCCTAAGTATAGTGCCCATTACATAAAGAAGACACAAATAGGTAGATTTTAAAGTTGGAAGGAGGAATCCAACTTGCTCCTGTTTAGAAGAGAAATGAAAAATATATTCTAGAAAGGCATCAAATCTTGACCTGAATCTCTGATCTGTTACTACTTTGCACTGATCACACTCCTGCAAAAAAAATGTGTCCCTGCTAATTTGTTTGAACTTTTTTTGGTGCTATTCATTCTCACAATTTTTTTCTGCATTAGCCTGACAGGCTCTAATTTAAAAGCAGCAACACTCCTCCATTTAGAAAGCCAGGAATTGAGTTCATTCAGCAATAGCCAAGCTTCTAAGAACAGCTTATCATAAAACTCAGGACTTCACTTCATCAAAAACTGGATGGCTGCTTGGAGAAAGACAATAGAAATGAACCGTTCAGGTGAACATTTCATTTCTGAARTTGCCATGGAATGAGTCAAATAAATCAATGAAGCAAAACCATAATTAGAAAAGTAAAACTCTCACAATAGGAAAAAAACCCTTTTCTTATCTCTTTTTTTCCCCTCCAGTCAGTTCCCTTTCTGAAACCTCCCAAATAAAAGAACACACACTGAAGAACTTACTTTGCTTTAAGTGTTTCCTCCTGGAAATTCCACTGAGGGTCTTCCACAAGCTGCAGTTCTCGTAAAACACTCCCTGGCTTGTAAGCTGCATTGATCACCATGCTGAGAACCTGCGGGGAGACAAAATCAACAACACTGATGGATTTGAAAGCAGTCCTTGACCACACTGAATGGTCCCAGGTGCTGCAGGTGCCTGTTTATGTCCTCACTGCACAGGGTCAGTGCTGGATGCAATGAGGACAGGTCMAAAAATGGATCCTGTTCCCATATTGAAGATGACACCTGAGCCTGATAAAGTAACTGCATTAAATGCTGCTGTTTAAATCCCAAAATCTCCTGCTAACCAGTAATTTTGTCAGACCCCGTCACCCAAAGCAGATTCCATTCACTGCAGCCATCATGGCTCAATTTAATAAAAAAATGAAAATAGACATAGYTCTGAAGGCACAACCAGGTACAGAGCCATGTGCACCACCAAACAGTGAGCACTAAAGGGGAAACCCACACATTTGAGGTCAGAATTATGTTTAAGAGCCTGAGTGCTGCATGCCTTCACTGGATGAGCAGAACAGTAATGAAGTCTCCACAAACAGAGTTTGCAGGAGGTGTGCCTGGACCCCAGAGTGTGTCCACCACACACAATAAAGCACAAGGGCCAATCCTTCTCATCCAAAGTCACTGAGAATAAAAATGATTCCTGCTATGGCCTCAGGGAATCCAAGCTTTAACAGCCCACACCTGGTTTAGGGAGACAAACAAGGAAAACAAATCTGAACAGCACCAGATCTTATGTTTGAACACTAGGCATTGTATGCACATGAGTGACCCCACAGTGAGTCTGGGTTGGCTTYCATCTAATTCMGCTTTTCACCCAATGCCWGCAATCTTAATTCCTYGGGGCCTTGMAAATGATTTCAGTATGATCAACATYAAGTTTGTTCAGCACCCATGAACAYAGTTCATCAGAAATTAAAAAATAGCCAGGCCATTCTGCAGTGACCAATGTGTTCATATTTATTTATTTTTTCCTAGGCTGCTTTTTCCCCCTGCTCTAAATCCACCAACCTGAGGATTTGGTAGCATTTTGAAAACCCCACAGGATTAATCATTTTCAGGCAAAGGCTTCACTTAATGCTGCAGAGTACTCTGTAAAATGGCATTAGCTGGAGATGCTTGGACAGGTTATTTACCAGAAGCAAAATTTAATTTATCACTGGGCCCTTGGAAACATTACTCAAACCACTCTTCAAAAAAGCCCAATTAGAGACACTAAACACTGAGAAAGGGCTGGTTTAGATTGGATATGARGAAGAAATTCTTCCCTGTGAGGGTGGGTAGGCCCTGGCACAGGGTGCCCAGAGAAGCTGTGGCTGCCCCTGGATCCCTGGCAATGTCCAAGGCCAGGCTGGACAGGGCATGGAGCACCCTGGGATAGTGGAAGGTGTCCCAGCCCATGGCAGGTGGTGGAATTGGATGATCTTTAGGGTCTTTCCAATCCAAATCACTCTGCAATGCTATTAAAAGAAATTTTCTGTGTGAGTCCATCCAGTTGCTCATCCACATCTCTTGCCTGTCCCTCCCCACACAAACTGAGGAGCTCTGGCCTCTGACACAAGGACACTCAGACCTGATGTCCGGAAGCTGAAGATTTCTCAAACACACTGAGTGCCTGGGGGGCTGCCACACTCATTCCCAACTCATCAGGTGCCTTGATCAGTAAATCCAGGGAATTATTTAACCCCTGTGCAGAAGGCTGTTGGGAAAGTCCATAASCACCCTTACCCCACCCTGCTTGCTGGTGGGATAGCCAGAAAGCATCTTGCTGACCCATTTCCACCACCAGCACTGTCCTGCCCCTCCACCAGTGCCATGGTGCTCATGTGAGCTGTCAGAATAGCTGGGGAATGAGCAAGGAAGAAAAGCCAACCCTGCAGCACTATTGTGGGCCTGTCTGGGCGTTATCCCAGGCACTTAATGAGCTCCAGCCCTGCACAGGCACCCACGGTGCCAGGACTTTTCTCAAAGCTGGCTTGTCACCAGCAGGRCTCTGTAAATTTCTAAACTCAGTTTAGAAACTGAGTGTTTTGTAAGAGCAATTATTTCCCTTTCAGGGAAGGAGAGAAAAATCCCTCAGGCTTTTACTCTTCTTGTATCTCAAATAAGCCACTGGGTTTGGCATTTTACCCTACAGCAAWGGTCCATCCTCACAATAACCTTCTATTAACAGCATCCCTTCATATTACACTCTATAAAATGCAAACAAACAGATTTTTGGCAAAAATGAACTGTGAATTAAACAAAAACAGTGAAGAAACCAAGACCATTTTCGACTTTTTTCTGGAGATGGAAAATTAATTCAACCATCTCAGACCGCTCAAACTTCCTTTGGCTGAGTGTGACCAGTCTGAGATTTTGGTGGTTTAATTTCAGCCCTCTCCATCAGGAATGGTTGGGAGCAGCCACCTGTGCCTTGGAGCAGAGAGGGGGATGGTTTTATTTTGATGCTGCTGAATTTTGGACTTTCAGAGGGAAGTGGGTTGGAGTCCCACAGGGAACATAATGATGCAGCACCACCATGAACCTCTGCCCAACCTCAAAAGCACCTGATAGTCATAAATTTCTCCATGTCATGCATTTTCATGTGCACAAGGGCTCTTTTCTGMGTATATCTGGTGTGCCTGATGCCACTGGGCAGTTCAGCACTCTTCTCCCCAACACAGCTCTTTGGTATTCACACATTTCCAGTCTCAGCCCTGGATGAAGTTTTCTTAGGAGAAATCACTGACAAGGTAAAGCTAAAAATACCATTCACACCTCTTTTCTCCTATTCAAGATCTTAATGATCAGCATTCTTATGAGGAGAAATTCAGTTTCCCTCCTTTATCTGAGATACAAACCCACATCTCCCACCTAGCAAGAGATGCTAAGTCCCAGGGTAGCCTCAAGGCAGGGCACTAAAATGTTTTCTTTTTTTTTAACTTGCAGAACTGATGTGTCTGTGGGACAGAGAGAGGTGAGCATAAGAGTTATTTGGGATTCTTTCATTAGATGATTAAAGATCTGAAAGGCATGTTTTGCCACAGTCTATTTTCTTTTTAAATCAAGAAAGAGCAAAGTGTCTTAAAAATATKAAGAGCAGTAAGTAATGGGGCTAATTAATCTTTACAGCATATTTTTTTTAAATATGGGGATTATAGATCATCTGGAGTCTCAAAAAGACACCTTGTTTCATTTTATAGTATTGCTGAAGAGTTCTTGCCATATATGAAGAACTGTTCCTGAGTGATTCTTAGATATTCTGACCCCAGAACTAAATCTAAAGCTGACAGTGTTTATTTTTATTTAACTTTGAGTCAGCCTTTATTATATAGAGTAACTATCTTACAGTCACCAYCTTTCAGCCCAGGTGCAATGGCTGTATGGCAATAGCTCCAAACTATTTGGTTCCATGTTTCAACTTTTTTTCCAGAAAATACCTCAGAAATGAGACAAACTTTGCAGCTGGTGTCACAGAACAAACACTGTCACCTCACCTGCCTCTTACAGTGAAAGAAACCACAATAACCAGTGGTTACAGCAGAAAACTTGGGAATAATGAATGGATAGATTGTAAAAAYAAGTTTGGCACCAAACAGCACAAGAGTTACTTGTTACTCCCTTTAGACTTTATATGGCTTCAAGGGTACACACACAGGATGATGCTCCACTGCACCAGTGGTGGAAAAAAGGACAAATCCTTGGCTGGAAAGGGCTGAGGAGCACCAAGTTGTGCTGCATTTTTTTACCCCCATCCTGCTGGCACCTCTCTCACTCAGTGACAGCTGACAGGATTCAGGTGTATCTTCCCTATAGCAACACCCTGAATGCCTTCTCTTCATCCTTCCTACAATTTGGAACTGATCCCATGGCCAGAATGAGCTTGACCATATGGCCATATTAAGCTTGAATCTTTTCTGTGAAGTAACACTGACCAGTGCTGGGCCTTTCCCACTGTCCTGCTTTGTAAAGTTGTTTAGGTCTCCTAAACAGGGTGCCTATATCTCCATGCCACTATTTGCTCCTATGTTGATGACAACATACATAAAAGCTGCTCCTAACCAACAGAACTCCCCATGTTTCAAAAACATCAAAAACCATCAGGCACAAACCTGCCCCCTCTTCCCAGCTCACAGTTTTGCCTCATGGAAACCACTCCAGGACCATTTCAGGTGCTTTGTTTGCAAATTCTGTGTCTGGCAAGCCACGACCCACACTTTGCTCTGCAATCCCCCAGAAGAGAGCTGGGCCATACCTCTTTGAGGACCAGCACACACTTGCCAGGCCCCACGGACTGAGGTAGCTCTGCGATCCTGCCTTTGTTCAAGTAGGGACCTGAGAAGCAGCGGTGGTTGATGTAGAGCTGGGGGCAGCAGTACCTCCCATTGATGGTGCCTGCAAGGAGAAAGCAGCAGTGAGGTGCCTGCAGCACTTYTGTAGCATAAATCAAGGGTAATTCTTCCTCCTAGATGTGGGAGGAAGGGGAGGAGAGCAAAGGAGGCCCAGAATTCCTCCCTGGGAAAAATGGTAGGGAAACCTCTGTTACTCAAGTCTTCCCAATATAGGAAGGAAAGTGTTTTTAAGTGACTGATTTTGCTGCACACCCTGCTGAAARGAGGACTGAGAAAGGATCTCATCCATGACATGAGCCAGGGCTCCTCCAGAAATCACACTGCAGATGGACATGAGAGAATCACTGCAACCAGCCAGGAGGGGATGGATGAGCCGAGTCTCAAAGACAGGGAACAGCTCAGGGGAACATTCTCAGGGAGAACATTCTCTCAGGGGAGAATTCTCTCAGAAACCCCTCCTCAGCTCCTGTCCAACCAAGCAAGCACTGCAGTGCCATTTCCCGACCCACCATGGGTCTGCAGAATAATTTGCCTTGTCTGGGTTAATTTCTCTGTGCTCCTTTATAGCCAAATGGGTGCTTTCAGATGTGGTTCACCTGCCATACAGGTGGTTACTCACTCTTATTTTTTTTATCATACCCAAAAAAACCCTGATTCTCCCCATTTGACTGTAATGAGGTGCTGGCTGCAGTGCCAATGTGTGTCCCACGTCCTGCTGGAAAAATCTGAGTAAAATCCTGTCCCTGCTGCAGGGTCTACACCATAAAATGGATGAATTATTGTACTCTCAGAGCCTCCTGCCCCTACTGAAGGGGAGAGAAATCTGCCTTCAGCAGAAGCAGCAGCCACACCACACAGTCCTGAGGTAACACAGGCACCCATCARGTCCTGCTGTGCCCAATTTCATGGGTGTCAATTAACAACCTGCACCCATTTCCTTAATATCATTATCTGAAATGGGCAAGCTCCAGGAGAGTTCTGATAGCCACAAGACCCTCACCTGCTGCAGATCAGGTAGGTTCACTCCTCTTTGCACCCCCTGAGGATGTGGCTCCATCTCCCTACCCCTGAGACAGCTCAGTGCCTTTTTGGGGTCCTCCCCCTCCACAGAGGCACCAGTCTGTGAAATTGGAGCCTTACCTGTTGTGTCTGGCTGAGGAACCGGGCAGAGGTCATGAGGTATTTTCTCAACAGGCACTGTGGATGGTAACCTGTTAGAAGAACAAGTTTGGTGTATTTAATAGCATATTTTGTGTATTTAATAGCATATTTGGTGTGTTTAATAGTGTCACAAAGGCCAGAACCAGCTCTCAGGCTGGACCAAAAGATCCACCAAGAATAGCCTGGGATGAAGAACGGAGACACCTCCAACACAATTCTACTTCCAATGGTTCATCACAGACCAAGGTATTGGAGATGAAGGAGCCAGATCCACCTCTCCTYCAAAAATATACTCTGATGTGTCAGCTCCAGGCTTCAACTGCTCTCACTGAAATCCCTTAAATTCAAGTTTCTACAAACAGCAAGGGTTAGACCGGGAAATGGCCCCCTGGTACAGGTCCATCTACCCTAAGCATCCCTTGCAGACCATCAGAGAGGGGCTGGGCWGCCCCAACCAGTAAAAAAATGCTCTTACAGAGACTTTCTAATGTGGTAACAAATATTTCAGCCTTAAAAGAATCCTCTTGCTGGCTGTGCTGCAGTATCTGGGCAGTAGTTACCAAGCCACACAGCTGCTGTGTATTATCCCCCCTGGAAAACCTGATGCATTCCTGTAAAAATACCACCTTAAATAACAAAAAAAATCCACWCAAACACAACTTACTGTTTTTCTGGTTGCACAACTGCAATTCTTCTCTTCCTTCGCACTGCAAAAATGAAGCAAGGAAGAAGAAAAAAAATAGTTTTGTACCCTTCTGTCCCATAAAGTACACCCAGAATGCATAAAAAGCTGTGTAAATGCACTGACTATAAAATTACTTCAGGCACAATGAAATGGTACTTAATTACTATCACCATCTTTTCTTGGTATTTTTTAAGTAAGTCGCTACATCATTAAAACCTACTTTAAAGATGCAATAATACATTTAATCTTTCCTCTGGAATGCTAATATTGTGTTTTATGGGATCAGTATAAAAGAAGAAAAAAATTAAAAACACAAATATTTTTCCATACAGAAACACATATGGATAAGATTACATTTTACAAGCATGATTACCTCCAGCATAATTTATCCCCAGCTATAAATTTTGATAAGGCTGTATAATGTTGCCATAGCAGTATCCTCCTAAATTAGGCTCTGGCTGCCTGATTTTTAACTTAGGCATATTTAACTCTTYGAGAGGGCTGACACATTTTAAAATTTGCCTTTCAGACGTTAATTAATATAAACAGYGAGGCCAATTTTTCACCTGGTGGCTTGAGATCGGGCATGTTGAACAGGAGAACAACACCAAGCCACTGAGCTCTAATGAACTACCTTCAAATGTAGATAGAAAGGAAAGAAATTTGTCTTAATATGCACTGGAGGCAGGACAWAACACTGTGGGTTTAATTGTGCTGTGGGGGGAATTTAAATTGAATACCAGGAGAATGTCTGAGCTGGCAAGGGCAGTGAAATAAGGGGACAGATACCCTGGGAAAGGACAGAAACTCCATCAAAGAATGGCAGCAATAATTTCTGCATTTAGATGGACCAGTTTTGGAAAGAGGCACCTGGATGGCCTCTGCATGTCCATTCCACCTGGTATTTTATGGGGTTATTTGCCAATTTGAGGTCTTTGTAATGCACTGAGCTGCCTGAGTGAACTTGGGTCAGCACAACAYCTGGTTTCCCTCTGACAACCCCACTGAACAACAACCCCTTTGCAAACCCACAACCCACTGTGGGAAATCCCAAACCATGGAACAGCCTTCCCCAGCACAGATAATCCCATTTTTGAGGGGCTGAYCACAGAGACAAATACAAACTGCACAATTCCAGCATGGTCGCTAATTAGATTTAACCATTTATTGCAGTACACTTCCAGCATGTTTATGAGTCTGCTGGGTAGGCTGATGGTGTCAAAAATGGAATTACAGACCTAAGGCAAAATCCCTGATATATCCACTAGTGTCACATCTGCTCTGCTCAGGTCTCCATGTACTTACAAACAGCTTTGTGTGGTGGGGTGAGGTTGTAAGCATTTGCTTCACACCAGCCAACAGGGAAAATGTCCATAGACTCCACATCAACGATGTACTCTGGGGAGGGCATCTGTGAACCTACAAACACAAATTTATRATGTGATTTGGACATGGGAATACCAAGCTCAGAGCCATCCAAGCATCCATCATGAGCCCGGGGAAGCRAATGATGGAATACGTGAAAATAAATCTGCTTCCCTGCATTAAAATCGAGCACCATTTCATCTTCARTTCTGCACAGACAGCAAGGATGGGGCTGGTGCATTTACAGTGCAGCATGGTTCACAGGAAAACCCCATTAAGAGCCCTTTCAGGGTGTGCAGTGAAGCAGCCAAAAGCCAGAGAGGTTAAAGCTACACGATTTTCCTCAACACAATGGCCTGACTGACCCTTGGGTTTTTTTGTGGAGCTGCATAAGTGAGTCAGAAGGACTTGTTGGGTGCTTGCTCTTAATGCTAAGAGAGTGTTCCTAGGCTTTCGGGGTGGTAGAGAGACTTTTGTGTCCCAGTGCTTCCCTGAAGCTTTTTTTGGGCAGCTCTGCCCTTGAAGGGTGAGAGGTGGCCATTCTTCTGTCCAGAAATCCCACAAATTCTCCTCAATTTCCTCGCATGAAACAAGAGCTGATCAKCCAACAGGAGAGAATCAATATAAAAACCCCAAGAGGGACAAGTGCACCAAGGTCTCTGGCATGATACTGRTTCCAAAACTCCACCTGAAATCTCCATTTAGAGGAATTACCTTCCAGTTTGTTATCAGGCCTCCTACTTTAGAAGACAACTTCCCATTTATGTGGGACACACTCATGGCACCAAAGAATTATTAAAGTGGGAAAAGCCCTCCAAGACCAYTGAGYCCAACCATGAACCCAGMACTGCCAAGCCCACCACTAACCCRYGTCTCTCAGCACCACATGTACATGTTTTTGAACACTTCCAGGGAGTTATTCYACCACATCCCTGSGCAGCCCATTCCMATGCTTGACCACTCTTTCAGTGAAGAAATTTCCCATATTTTTTTCCTCCTTGTTTTTCTAATTTCCAGTTGAAATTCAATGAAAATACTCCTGCTGGCTTTGAGTTCTTTGGGAAACAACTCCGTGTCCCGAGTCAAGGCACCATTTAATTACCCCAACTCAAATTCCACTGTGCTGCCACAGCTGGGCCAGCAACTTCACCTCATCCCTGTGCCAATTCCACCCCAGGACAGACAGCTCCAGCAMCAGCAGGAGGTGATCTCCCAATAAAAGGGACCAAAGGATCAGCATCTTTCTCTGCATCATCYTCTCCTTGGCATCTGCTTCATCTCTGCCTCCTGCTTAAGGCAGCAAGTGTTGGACTGTGCACMGCCAGGGAGCTTCCCACTAATGAATGTTCATCAAGGGCTTGTGCTGTAATTGCAACAGTAATTGAACTTTGTGATGGGAACAGCACCGAGGCTGAGGTGCAGCGTTTGGATCAGCAATAAACCTGCTGCTCTCRGAGTGTGTGGCTGCATGAAAACCCACAGGAGGCAAGGAAATGGGTGCTGGTGATTAAACTGCTGGAGGAAATAATTTAAAAAATTCAATCGTGGTGTCTGTRTAGATTCACAGATGTCTTTGTGGTGTTTCTGAGCCCTGCACTGTGTGAATGCACTACCCATTGAAAATACAGTGTGTCTTTCACCGGGATATGGGAAGAGAATGGGATGAAGGCACATGGAACAGGATACAACTTGCTGAATACAGGATTTCAGCAGCTGAAATTCCCTGCAAAASCATTTCCCTCCAAGAGAAAATACCACATGGTCACTGCTCAGTTTGAACCTGATAAAAGCTGCACTCTCCAGTGGGGGAAATATTTTCACCTGACACCACAAATCCAGGCAAGGAGCCACCGATGTGAGAACAGCTGGAGTCAGTGGCAAGGCACGCACACAGTAAGCAAGACATGGATCACACCCTAAACAGAGCATGAAAACAACACAGACCCCACTGAAATGCCACCAGGTCTGGGAAAACCCAGCATTTCATTATTGCAATATTATTCTGACAAAACAGACTCAATTAGAGGTCTTTTCCAACCTTTATGATTCTATGATTCTAAATTATTGAAAAGTAAGCAGATCAAGCATACTTTTCTGCTTGCAAGCAACAATAAATTTGAGATGAAGGGTCTTTTCCAACCAAAATTCTATGAACATCCTGGGTTTGAAGTTTACASCTGCAGCCACCCTGAGGAGCAAGAAAGCACCACAGTGCCCATCCTCCTGCAACACCTCTATTCCTCTTCTAAGACATATTCACAGCTACTTGGTCCTCCCTGGCACTGCTTCTGCCCTCTGGCAATCGATAATCCTGCTTTCCACTTCCAACATCTGACTACTCCTTCCACAGAAGTGGAAAACAGCTTTTTTGAGACTCATTAGTTTCATTTGTTGCATTTTATGCCACCCTCTTTTCAGAGCAAGAAATGTCCATGAGACTTGGGAGGTTAAATGGAAAGTARGGAGACTGGTAACGGGGTGAGGAAAATGTCTGTGTCCTGAGATGAATCTTACAGGATGGGCAGAACAGAGCAGGAACTCTAGAAAACTGTAAAATGAGAAATTAGGGGAAAACTCCCTGGAGAAGCGATTAACCAAAGGCTTTTCCTCAAACTCCTGGGCTGTGCAGTGAGCGTGCATTATTACTTGTATAAATTCACACCAGAAAGCTTCAAGCTCTAAAATCTAAAATGAACCAGTAAAAATTAACAATGCAGATGATGAGTAATAAAGTAGCAGAGAGTGCAGAGCATCCCATCAGTCCTGAGCTTCTCCTCCACCACGGGGGAACTGCACTGCCGCTCGTTAGACACTCACCCTCGAGTTTGGGGTTTTGCTACTGTACAAATTGTGATTTATCACACAATGTTCTCTCATGTTCTGCTTAACTCCTGGGCTCCTGGTTTATGGCTGCAGCCTGGGCTGTCAAAATGGGAAACTGGGAGGGCGACAATGAAAGCTTCAGAGCCGCCCGTGATAAACGGTGGGACCCGAGGTGTTCAGTGAGGGGATCCCATGGTAGCTGGGGAGCCTTCCTGCTTCCAGGATATAAATAATCAGTTAGAAACAAAAGTGTATTAATGGAGTMAAAAAAAAAACCCCATGACACACTTCAAGCCACATTTATTTTACAACTCTGCAAGCAGAGTTTTTTCAGTTGTGGGKTTTTTTTTAATGCCRGCTTTTAGCATAGCACTGTGCATGCTGTAGTGATGTATTCCCACMGCAGCAGAGATTTCTTTTTATTTTTGCAGTCTTTTGCATCTTTTCTGTTTACTACAGATCATTCCATTCCTGCTATTGAGGTATAAACCAAGCTTAAAGCATCTATATATCAGAACTCAAAAGAAAGGAGATGCACACAGGGGTTTTTTATGCTAAGTTGTAAAAAAACATTCTTTTAGAAATTAAAAGAGTAAAAGGCAGGGAAAAATAGATGAGGGAAGGAAGCAAGGTGGGAGTGTGTTGCCCTCTTCCTGCATCTACCCACATTGTTGGCATATACAAGTGAAGGCATCTGGTCATTTAAGAAAAGAAGTTGCCAAAATGGGTCAGATTCCTTGATCAGATGGGTGTAAATTCAACAGCCTTAATGAGAATGGAATTTCAAACAAGTGTTGATTCCAGCTCTTCAAAAAAAAAATTTCTCCTGTAGATGAGCTGTTGCTGCATTCAGCTAGAAGGCAACTATTTACCTTGGAGTCAAAAACCAAAACCTGCCATTGCACAAAACTCTACCAAAAACAAACGTTCAGGAGGAACTGTGATGCTTTGGGTTACCTGGCAAAATTTCTACCAACTTTAAGGGCTTTCATTAGAGACCTCTCCTCTTGTACACAGTGCATGGCACATTGCCAGGTTGGGAATTGCTGTGGAAGGCTTAGCTGCACCAGTGAGGCAAAATTCCATTTCCAGATGAAGGTCTGTCTGTGATGGCAGGGAGGAGGCAGTTATCATGGTGATAAAGACCTCATGGATGGGAGGGTGGGAGAGCTTGCAGCTTCCCCAGAGAAAGAACAGGGGAATATAATTCCTTGCGACATTATTCATCAATGTGTATAAAACTGRAAAAAAAATTAATAAASGAATTTGTGCAGAGCATGAAGGATGAAATTAAGAGAGTGAGTGAATCAAGCAAACACAAGAAGCCTTCAGAGCACGTACCTTCCAGGTGCAGCCACATCAACCGTCCTTTCACCGAGGTGATGGAAGCGACACAAATCTCTGCGGGGTTCCTGGGGTTCACCGCCTCCAGCTTCATGTTCTTGGTGAAGCCACGGCTGAAGGATGTCTGAAAGAGTCAAGAGCCAGTGCTGAAACATGGCACTGCAGCACAAGTTAACCCTGCTGGGAAGCATAAACTCAGCGTGGTTTGCTTTCCAGTGGAAGCACAGGATATCCTGAGGAATGCAAAGGCATCCAGGGTCAAAGCAGAGCTRTYCTGGTGYWGCCCATGGTGAGGCAGCTGTGCCCTGYTGTTAATGTGATATCACCCAGAAGGTTCCCAGAACTCCTRTGCTTAAGCATCCCTSAMATTGSTAGGAGAAACCTTCTAAAGSAAAARAMCATCTTGCCTGAGACCAGAGAAAYYTCTTCATACATTYAGKCACCCAAAGTGAYTGAGGCTGAAGAAATTTGAGTAACYRTTTTAAGYWTGCTTTTCTTCATGGAGTTTCCATRRATAGGACCCTGGGTGGCAGYGCTGCCCATGGCATGGTGGRGTTGGAACTGGACAGTTTTTAATGTCCCTTCCAACCCAAACCACCYTATGATTCTATTTTAAGTGCAAAGAACAAGGTCCTTAGGTACATGAGGTCATTGGTTGTAGATTGATCCAGTTGTGCTCATGCCACTGTTCTTTCCAGTGTCCCTTCTTTCATTTACACTCAGTAGCTCACCCTTCACCATCCCTGAAAGCACACTAATGCAATGTCTATGGCCATGCCAGGGCTTTTTCTCYTTGGATTTTCCTCCCCTCTGTCCCACCTGCTCTGCACACAGTAGCACAGAAAGGTTTACTCCTCCTGGATGAGATTTTTTTCTAACAATAATTGGGATGGGTAATAATTGTTGCTGACTCACAAACAACACCGATCTCTCATCCAGCTGCCCCAGGTGAAAACTGAAAGCCAGGCTCAAATTCAGCCCTTCTATTCATACAGCTCCAAGGACCACAGGCACTTCACCTTGAACAACCACTGAGAGCTCTTTGAGAGACTAAAAACTCATGGCTTTGGTCTCTCTTCCATCCAAGAACACACTGCTACTCTCAAACGCAGCTTGGAGTGCCTCAAGCCTTGCTCAGCACACAGATCAGCTTCACCCTGTAAAAGCTGCTAATGGCCAGAACTGCAGGAATGCAGGCTGAGTTTGTTTAAATGCCTTTTATGTTGCCTAACAAGGAAACGTCATTTATCATCACCCCGGCTCCTTTCATTGCAACTCGGTGCTGGAGGCTCATTTATACAGATCAATGGCACAACAGTTAGGTGGAGTTTATTTTACTAAGCATTTGGGCACATCAATCCATTTCATAACTGCCTCTCCTTGTTAAAAATCTCCCCCAGGGAAACAGCTATGGCACCTCCCCTGCCAGCACCACATCTGCCTGCAARAGGTGGGAGATGCAAAAAGCTTCCATCGAAGAGCCCCTCACAGCCACGGATCAAGGGGACCTACTAGCCAGCAGGCTGCACAAGTGACAACAAATAGCTCTCCCCGAAAAGAATTCTGCTATCAAGGGTGAAAGAATAACAGACATGTGTCCTGGTGAATGTTTCCTTAAAATTAGGAAAAAAAGGACAAAAAAGGTGCTCAGACCTGACTTAATCTTGGAGGATGTTAGGCAGAGACTTCTCTCAAGGCTGCCAGTGCTGAGAGAACAGATCCATTAGTTGGCAAAATGAWAAGAGATGTAAAGACAAGGCRGGGGTGCTTGAAGAAGGGAAGAAAYGCAAAAATAGMCCCACYGYACTKGTGTGATGCAGCACTGCCCAACTCCCCKCAGCACKGCTRGAAATCTTTCCTTAAAGTCCCTTGWGGAAGAGGRCYTTTATGGGGCAAATAAATCCTTACTCTGATTTGAWTCCCAAGTCAGACTCTGTTCGTGGTACACGTTTTCTGAGTTCATCAACAAAAAATCCACCAATTCACCATCAAAGTTTCCAAGCCAGGCTGCTCTTGCTTGGGGCAGAGGATGAAGGGCATGCAAAACCCGGGCTAGTGCCTGTCCCCATTCTGCTTTCCATAAAGATCCCGTTCCCTAGACCTGTGACCTATGAGTACAGTGAAAAGCTCTATAATTCCTACAGAAACCTGCTTGTCTATTGTTCACAACACCATTCTGCAAAGCCTTCTGTGCCCATTTTAGGCACACCAGTAACATTTAGGTACCATCACCAGGTACACTTTCAGTCACTGATGGGATCTCAGCCTCCATCAGCTGATGGGCACATGAAGGAGAGCACCAGAGGTTAATGCAAAAGGCAGAAGGCCACATCTGCCTTKCCCAAAGTGATGAAAACCTGTCCGATCTCTCCACAGAGCTATCATTGCCATAAAACAGCCTGCAAAAGATGATTTGAAAGGCTGTGAGCCTTAATGGCATCCATCACTCTCACACCACTGCTGCTGCATCAAGGAAGGACATGAACTGTCCCAGAGACCARAGCATCCACAGGGATTAATCACTCTTCTCATACATTTTCCACTTTTAGGTTTTAGATGCATCTGGTTTGGTTAAATGCTGGGATACAGAGAAACTGCCAAAATATGAGAAGGGACAAATGATACCATGCATTTTCTTTACCTAAATTATTCTGAGTAGCACTTGAATTACCTGCAATAACCATTTGAGATCCTTTTAATGCTGTACAAAACCAGTGAGGAGATGAAGAACAGGAGACTAATCAGATAAACACAAGGCTAAAATAACATTTTTTTCTCTTTTAGGGACGGAGACCTGGAACACTTTTCCAGTTTCCTTCCTAAGCCTCATGGTGATCTGGGGGAACCTCCCAGAGCCTCGCAGAAGTTTTTCTGTGCAAGCTGTTTTGTTTCACACAGGAGCAAAAGGAAGAACTTACATTTCTAAAGCACAGGTGAGGCGCTGCCTCGGCTCCACACTGCTTCTGGTAGTCTGCCCAGTCAAAGTCCTGGCCAGAGTAACCTGCAGGGGGACAGAACAGAAAGGACCATCAGCCACCACCCCACACCATAGACAGAGGACAAAATTGGCCCTGAGAACTTGAACATCTGTGCTGCAGCATCTCATCCTGCCTCAGTGACCTCTGTGGCATCGGCAGAGCCCCTGCTTCTTCTCCAGCCTCCACTCACACACCTCCTCCATTTCACTGCCAAGTCTCCATTAAAAAATAGTAAGACATCATTATTTTCCTTATTTTCTCTTTTCAGTAAGCATCTCCCTATTTTTAATAAACCTGTAACTAATGAGAAGTGCCACTGTCCCAGATTTCCAAATGGGGCTGGTCATGGACTCCTTTCAGCTGTCTAAAAGATGGTGATGGAGCTGGACATGGGTTATTTGTCCCTCAGCAGTGGACAGGGACAGGAGCAGCACCTCACAAGCTGATCCACCCTCTCTTTCAAAGCAGGAGATAAATTCTCCTCTCTTCATCGATGCACCCTCCCTGACTGACTCCCCCACAGCTCAGAGGATGGGAGTTGAATCCCATCACAGTGAGAATGTTACAGAAACCCGAAGCAGAGCTGGAAAATGAACACAAATCTGCCAGTCCCAGCAAGCAGATGATCCCTCCAGTCTCTGCTTCTAGGTAAAATAAAGGGATTCATTTAGATCAGCATCTCTCAAGGAGTCCTATCACAGAAAGATACATCAGACCTCTGCCCGACCACTATTTTCACCTGACTATTTAGGCAATAAATTCTTGGGACAGAAATGGGTTTTTTAATTTGCTTTTTGGGGCTATTTTTTGCCTGCTGCTTATTCTGTATTTTTACAATGCTTGGAACCAGTGAGGGCTAATCCTGTCCAGGGGCCTGTGGATACTCTAATGTCATTATCACAGAACTGCTCTCACTGGAAAGTTTCAGGAGTCACCCAAAGGCCAAATTGTCCCCTGAATCTCCCTTCCTGGCATCTCAGCCTGGCCTCATTTCATAGAACATCCYTAAATGCATTTTGCATTGACAGTCAAAAAAGGGACACTCGAGATCAAATGTGAATGAATCATTTATGACAATGAAAATTGTGACTTTTTCGTATGGGCAAGGACTGRAATACTGAGTGTAATCCCCTATCAGTCCACCAGATCCCAACAAAAGGAGGTAAAATTTTTGAAAACCAAGAGCCAAGCATCCTAAGTGCCAAGTATCTGGGATAAGATGGTTTCTAATCCTAATAACTGCATTCATTACAAACAAATTACTGAGATAAAGCCTTGAGCTAAGATGTCTGTCTCTGTGGGGCATTAAAGTGCATAATAATTTAAAAACTGAACATGCACAAGGAAGAAAAAAAGGACAGTTACTTATAACGAATGTTCCTTTCTTCATACAAAAAAAAAATCCTTGCACTGTTTTTAACAATTTCTGCAACAGCATTTTCTTCACACTTCTTCTCCATCTCTTTTTTTATCTCTGATATAAAGCCCTCATGGATGGGCTTTGCATCTCAATGTTAAGCCACACAAATCTTGTCAGAGATGATGGAAAAGGCACATTAAAAGGGTTCCAGTGAGGTACAAAAACCTGACTGTGCTGTCCTCACACAATCACCTGTTGGCTTGGCCCCTGCATCACTGCAGTCACTGGGAAACCTTTTTATTTAGGCATTTCAGCAGGAATGGAACCTGGGAGGACAGCTGGGGGGTTTAAAATAGCTCAGTGCAGAAGCACAAGGATGATTCCAAGAGGGAAGAGCCAGGAATTGGCTTCAAACCAGCTCTGACCTCTCTGTGGCCTCTTCATGGAAATGACAGAGAGGCTGCACCTCGAGGGCAGTGTCCAGCTCTGGGCTCCTCACTTCAAATGGACATTGAGGGGCTGGAGTGAGTCTGGAACGGAGCTGGGAAAGGGTCTGGAGCACCAGGAGTGGCTTAGGGAGCTGTGAAAGGGGCTCAGCCTGGAGAAAAGGAGACTCAAGAGTTGTGGCTCTGCACAACTCCCTGACAGTAGGGAGCAGCCGGGGGGAAATCGGGTTCTTCTCCCACGGAACAAGGGACAGGAGGAGAGGAAATGGCCTTAAGTTACACCAGGGGAGGTTCAATTGGACATCAGGGGAAGAATTTCTTCACAGAAAGAGCTGTCAGGCACTGGAATGGGCTGCCCAGGGAAGTGGTGGAGTCACACGAGAAACAACAGCACGTGGCACTCAGTGCTGCGGTCAGGTTGGCAARGTGGGATCWGTCAAAGGTTGGACTCGATGATCCACAAGGATTGGAGGTTTTTTTCCAGCCTTAGTCACTCCCTGATTCTGTGATCCTGCTCTGAGCTGCCTCCCTGGGCACACAGGGAGATGCCAGGCACCCAGAGCTGCCATCAGCACACGGGGAGGTACCAGGCACCAGTGCCACTGGGACCTAAAACAACGCTCACCTGAAACAGAGGCCAGACAAAGTCAAGAGAATAAAAGCAGATATATTTAATACCAGGCTGTCCCAAATAAGTGTGCTTCGGATTTCCCAAAAAAGCATTTCTCAGATCCCAATGCAGCCTGGAGGGATGCATCACCCCACAGGCCTGCACAGGCCTACTGGTAGACAAAGCCTCCTCCTGAGGCTAYACCCAAAATGGACACCAACTCACAAGATCTTCCCCTTTTGTAAGTTCTGTCTTATTAACATATCAGGCCTGAATTCTCCAACTACACCTTCCCCCAGGTTTGCTCCCCCAATTCTCTGTTGTTTCCATGTTCTGGGGCCCTGAGCAGTGAGKTGCCCTTGAGTTCCAGGCCCAGAGAGGAACTGTTTTCTCTAAAGATGTGAGAACAGCAGCTTTAATGTGGTGCACTGGAGAAGTACAATAACACAGAWACATGAAAATATAGAAACTACARATCCTCAGGCATCACCAACATCAGCACATGGGAGTGACAACACTGAGAGCTGTGTTTGCACAGCTCACCTGSTGCTCCTCAAACATTCAACATCTCCACCGTGTTTGCCATCTCGTGGAAAAGCCCAGCAGCCTAATCAGAAGCAAATACAACACAAACGTGCTTGAGGTTTTTGGAAGTGGCACTTCCTCAGTAAGCTTTACAACCAGGAGCATTATCAAAATGTTTTTCCCCCCACTTAATAGCTCATAAAACAATGGTTGCTACTCCGAAGGGAAGTGGTCTATAAATCCAGCTCTAATAAATATAAACAGAGCTTGTTCAATGTTTATACAGCAGCAGTTAATGGGTATTCATTTTTGGCACTGTACAGGAAAATACTGCTCTCTATTTCAAGTAGCAAATATTTGCACCTCCTGTTCATAACCCATTTACTCTTTGTTTGGAYTCAATAAAGCCCTGATAGGCAAAACGAGAATGGATATCAGACAAATAAAGGACTCTGAACTCCAGTATCCCAACCTGGCACATTGTTCTGATGAAATAAAATCAGCTGATTTTGAGATCAGAAAAATTCCTTTTCAACCCTACAGTAACCAAAAAAACAAGCCCAGTAAAGAGCAAAGAAATTCTTTTCTCAAAAAGAAAAGGTACCTTCAATTGTTATTCTTTGCTTTATGGGAACTTCCTGCCTTTCAAGGGAGCACCACTAAATAAATCACAGAATCATTAAGGCTGGAAAAGACCTCTAAGATCATCAAGTTCAGCCACTAACCCAGCATTGCCAAACCCACCACTAAACCATGTCCCCAAGTGCCACATCTGCACATCTTTGGAATATTTCCAGGACTGGTGATTCAACCCTTCCCTGTTCCAGTGCTTGACAACCCTTCTGGTGAACAAATGTTGCCAACCTCTTCTCCCTTAGGGGTGATRTTGTGGGGAATGTGTGACCTCTGGGGCAGCAGGAGCAAGAAGGGGTAATTCCTTATACTCCCAGGTAGAACTGTCCAGGGTGAAAATGCTGGGATTTTCCTCCTCCTGCTCATCAGCAGGCAGCTCACACCACCACCTTCCTCACTTCCACAGAACTGCAGCTCTCTCATACCAGTCCTGGCCATTTTTTCTGCTATTATCCTGCTCAGAGAAGCCTGGCACCCTCAGAAGGGGTTTGGATGATTTTTGCTTTCCCTCTGCTTCCTTATTTGGTGTTTTATGGGTTTTTGTTGTGTTTAGTTTGCGTTTATTTTCAAATAATTCATTCTAATACCTGATTACATTTTAGTAACTCAGAGAGTGTGTCTGCCTATAGGAAAGGTTTTAAGGTGCTAAAATTCAGTTTGGACTTGCAGTCCTCGTAAAGAGCATAAAAAAAAAGCAACATATAGAATACATCTACCTGCCACTGGCTTTGTGCCTTTTTAATAGCTGCCTCCCGGGATTTGGGAACTCACAGCAGAAACCAAATTTTATTTTCACCAGGAGGAATAAGGAGAGACTTTCTGCACTTTCTCAGGTGCCCAGGTGGATGCCAATAACCAGGCATCACCCCAGATCACACAATGGTTTGGATTGGAAGGGGCCTAGAAAACCACCCAGTTCCACCTCCCTGTACTGGGCAGGGACACCTCCCACTAGACCTGGCCAAGTTGAAAAATATTCACATGACAGATRCTTCAGACATGTCTTAAAATGTTGGCATCTAAAAGAGTTCACACAGACTTGACCCATAAAACACCATCTCAGACAGGCTTTGTATCAGCATGAACTGGAAATTTTTAGGCCATGACCCCATAAAGAAGAAATGTCTGGCCTGTGGTCTCCTTCAGTTAATTATCCTGCCTGGGGAAAACTGCATGGGAATTTGGGTGGAAAAAAAACCTTAAAATATTCCATTTACTTTCATTTTTAGCAATTTCTCTGGCCAGTACCAGCAAGTGCTTACACAGGCATTATCATTACACAGGAGTTTGAGCAGGAGAGAGCTCAAGTCCCAGACAGGAGATTTATTTCAGCAGAAGCAGCAGAGCAATCAAGGATGCGCTGTGTGTAGCTGCACTGGGTTCCAGGACTTAGGTGGGAATTTCAAATTACATGTGCTGAAGAAGCACTCTGGACATACAAAAGAGGATTCTGAATCTGGTGGGGAATAACTCTTCACTCCCCTGGCTTTGGCAGCATCATGCTTTTTCCAAAATGAAGACAAACGTTCACACGCAAAACTTAGCTTTTTTTTTTTTTTTTTTTTTTGAGGCATTTCTTTTTCCCGAGCAACACTGATTTTTGGCAACAGACCAACAACCCATCCAGCTTCAAAAACCTGAAATTCCAGGCAACCAACACATTTTGCAAGCAAAGAAATATTGCTAGGGCACCACAGGTGGTTGTCTGAAGTCGGGAGTAATTAACTGCACTGCTACAGAGCTGGGGAACAGAACGGCTGGAGGCTGCTTCTCCTGGCTCTGACCTGAACACTGCTAGCAGTGTGCTCTGGGATCTGTTCAGCCAAGGAAATCCCTCCAYACTCCTGGGCAGGCAGCTGTTTTTAGCTCAGACATTCAGATCTAGGAGCTCTGCTTGGCATCAGTGCTGCACCGAAGTGGATGATACAGGGTTTGCCTATACAATGATAAGACTTTCAATGCTCCGTTTGCTCTCTGCACAAAGAATTGCTAGGATTTCATTTTTCCACAGTAATTCATGAGCTTTTGGTACAGCCTGAACCAGACTTCAAATCACAGGGACATCAGTCCATCATCAAGGCATGTTTGCTAAGATGCTCATGGGCTGGAAGGAGCCAGGACAGCCCCAATCACCCCAGAGAACTATTCTGGCTTGAGATACTTCAGCTGAAGCTCTGCAGAAACAACCACCACAGCTTTAAAGGCAATGATAACGAGCAAAAGTCCTGCACASTAAATTTGAGAATCACTGAGAAGGAATACAAACCCTTGGGAGGTGTGAGATTGACTCCGTTTTTAAGGCACCACTGTATAGGCAAGATCCCCAAGGAATCTGCATGGCAAAGCATCGAGATTTTGCTGGGTTCGGGTCTCAAGTCATCGATGGTCACTTGTAAATAATGATTGTTAAAAACCTAAGGGGTGAAAAAGAWGAGAACAAAATCAGGAGTTAGATTTTTTGCAACATTAGGGGACGTGGAAAGCTGGAACAGCCAAACCTGGGGACCAAACTATTGGAAATAACCTGCTCCCACCCAAACCTTTCCATCCAAGTGTTTCTACCAAAGAGATCAAAGCCTGAGCTTTAAAGATTAAAAAACTGAAGCAACAGGAAGCACTGAGTTCGGGGTCCCAGAGCTGAGCAGGGACTGGAGATGATCCTGGAGACGATCCTGGAGACCTCAGAGCCTTCCTTTCTCTTGCCTTTGGGAGCAGATTAAATATCCACTACCACCACAATTCAGCTGTTTTATTTCCAAATGCTTTTCAGATGTGCAGGGAAAACATAAATGGATGGAGAGGAGACAAAAACAAGAGGCATGAAGTGGTGGATGGAAGTGGTGGGTGGATGAACACGCAGTGGTTTTAAGTGCATGGTGTCAGCTGGYAATGCTTGTGGGAAAGAAAGGATTAATTAGGAACATCCATGGGTTTTAAACTAATTTCTTAATGTGCTCTCCAGCCACTCAAGTACCGCTCTTGTGTTTTTCTAAATGTGGGGGAAATCAGGATGGGTTTCCTACTCAATCTCCTTTCACTCCACCTTTCTGAGTACTCACCTTGGTCACTGATGCAGGACAGATATGAAAAGGCTCCCTCATATTCACTGCCTCCAGCTTCATCCCCACAGTGAAGAAGTGGTTTCTCAAATCAGCATGGTCCTGTGGGAAGAGGGACATGTGGTGACATCCACCAAGAAGCAGCCAACACATTTGAAAAATCTATTTGAAAAATCTATTTGAAAAATCTATTTGAAAAATCTCTTTGAAAGGTGCCCACGTGGATTTTGTCACTTTGCTGGATTCTTCCGGTCCTATGTTCTTTTCATGCCAACCCAACCACAGAAAGGGAGGGGACAACCTCTCTCCTAGAGGACATATCTACAGGACCAAGCCCATCATATCTAAAGCACAGGATACGTCCATCTCATCAGCAGGATCTCAGCAGAACTCAGTCAACAAGGAGATTGTGCTCACCAAAACGAGGACCTGGCTGAGAAATGGCTGCTTGAGAATCCCCCACGAGGAGAGTTCCCTCACCTCTGACAGCCACCACCCTCTGGGAGCAACTGAGAGTCCAGAGGTGCCAAGAATCAAACTGAAGCCCCTCAAGGTAATGCACAACATGGATGGAAACACCTCAGCACAGTCCTGATTGACCCTGATGGATGTCCAGCACCTGCAGGGCACCAAAAAAAAGCACCAGGGCTGGTCTCCAAGATGAAAAGGTGTTCTTTTCCAGCCAGGAGACTGGAAATGGACTAAGGCTTGGACAGTGAACTGAGACCCAAATGTGGGCAACAAGAGAACATGACAATGGTGCTCAAGCACATGCCCAACACAACACTTCCACCCAGGACCAAACCTGGCTGCACCCACAGGSTACACACAGAGGGTTCCCCACGGCAGCTCTGGGGACAGCAGTACGATGTTATTCTCAAATTCAGAAGGAACCCAGATTCAACTCCCTGATTTGCCACCAGTTGAGTGTTTAACCCCTAATTCCTCCATCCCGTGTGACCCCTATCAAAGARTCATACAATCTGCCACCCTAATTCCAGGGTAATTACTGCATTTTGTGTTCATTCAGTAAAAATGTCTCACATTTATTTCTAAACCATCGGTGCATTTAGCCAAAGCTACCACAAAAAGAGATGAGTATGTTATATTTAGCACACACTCACAGACCACTCCAAAGTACATGCAGAAAGCTTGCTATCTAATAAGTGGTTAGCAACAACAATCCCATCTACATTCATTGCTACATGCTGTATTCTTGTTCTAAAATGATTTTCTATTGATCCAAAGTTGTGTGTCATTGTGCTTTCTTCTCCCAAGAACCGCCTGCACTTGTAAGGCTTTAACAACTTCTATTTTGGGATCTTACATTCCAACTGCTGCTGGAGATAAGGATTTTTACAAGCTCCAACCACAGCTAAATAAATGGGTGTTTTAATCTTACTAACCTGCAGGGTTACGGAGCCCCTTTCAGCAATAACCAAAAAGCAGTAAAAAACCCCCAAAAATCCGTAATGGATTTAGTCTCACAGCAGAAGAAAATACTGATGAGCAAACTGAGGAATATTTAAAAATAATGGCTCAGAGCCCAARGAACTAAAGGCTGAGGAAGGAGGAGACATCCAGGAGTTTGAGCATCCTTTCCACAAAGGCATGCAATGATAGGACGAGGGGTAAGGGTTTAAGGTGAAAGAAGGCAGATTTAGATCAGATATTAGGAAGAAATTCTGTATTGTGAGGGTAGTGAGGCCTTGGAACAGGTTGCCCAGAGAAGTTGTGGATGTCCACCCCTGGAAGTGTTCAAGGCCAGCAATTTGGGATAGTGGAAGGTGTCCCTGCCCATGGTAGGGAACGAGATGAGCTTTAATGTCCTGTCAGAAACTGCTACCTTTTAATACTGAAAAGGCTTCAAAGCAAAAAGATGATGGCTGCAAAAATCCAACCTCACCAGCACTGAACTTTAAACCCCTTAAGGCAAAAAAACCACATGGACTGGAGGGCTGCCTCCTCCTGCATGAGGATCCACACCCTGAGTCTCTTAATCCTTGGGGTGAGGTTGTAAAGAGAAAGCAAATCTGCAAAATGTGCATCTGGAATCAGCACCTCCCCACAAACATTCCAYGATTCAACTCACGCTCTGATCCAGCCTCAATATGTAATAAGCTGAGATACACCAAAGTACTTAATCATGTTTATCTTTAAACATGCAAGTAGTTTAATCAACTTTTAAAGTGATTTGTTGATTGAGACCAAAATATATTGACACCAAACCATACTGCTTCTCCTTTTTATCTGAGTCATTTTCTTTGGTGTTTCTCCTTTTATTTGTTTTGGCTTTTTTTCAAAGGGGAAAAATAATCAGATAGAGGAAAAAAAAAGCACTAACAATATTTAAAGCTGTTTTACTTCAAAAGCGCTGTGTACCTTGGGATCAAATCTCTATTCTCATTCAGCATAGCAAGTAARTATTTTCCCCATTAAATTAGTAGCAAGAGTGAACCCACAAAGGGAGTTCATGGGATCTCAAGTACATCTCCCTTTTGAGGGTCAAAATCCTCTTTGAAGCAGGAACATGCATTTCTTTGGAGAAATGCTGTGGAAGTAAAAACCGTGTCTTGTGTTAAAYGTCATTTTTGAGACGGAAAAGCTTTCATGGAGAAAAAGCCTTTGTATTGTACCCCTCTGGAAAATGGTCAGGGTCTGAATATTTGATCTGTCTTGTATATTGGCTAAAGAGAACCATCAAAATTTACCAAAGCAGCTTTATAATTCTACAGCCACAAAAGGAAAGAAAAAAGATTCCTGACGCCGTTCTCCAGTTCCAGTGCTGGAGCTGCCTCAGCCAGCAGGGAATTACTTAGGATTTGGCATATGCTCCTCTTCAAAACTCCAATTAATTTACATAATTTCTAAGAATAGGTTCCAGAGAAGTGATGGCAAAGCTTTTAATTAGTATTAGACTCAAAGTGATACACTGGATAATGAACTGCTCTCTCTTCCCTTTATTCACGTTGACAGGAACGACGCCTGTTTAATAAAAGCAGCTACAAGGAGAGGACTGGAGGGGTGAGYCTTTCTCCTGGTCCCTGCCAGCTCTGCAGCTGAACAAAAGAAATGCCTGAAATTATTATGGGTGGCAGAATTCAACCCTCTGCTGCTATTTCACAGCGTTCAATGCCACCAGYGAGGATGTCACCAGCCATTATTTTCCAGCAACTTCTCCAAGTGACTTCCAATTTTCTTTGAAATGGAGACAAATAGGCAGAGCAGTTTTGAGCAGCTGGAGCATTTTATAGCCCCATGCACCATGGGCCTTCACTCCTACTGGCAGTCAGAGCTTCCCAGGAGCAGCCTCACTGACCACACAGAAGTTTGGGTTGGATATTACAAAAAATTTCTACACTGAATGGGCTGTCAAGCACSGACACAGCTGCCCRGGGAAGYGCTGGAGTCACCATCCCTCAAAGCATTTAAAAGTTGTGTGGATGTAGCACSTGGGGATATGGTTTAGTGGTTGGCTTGGCAGTGCTGGGTTAATGGTTGGACTTGATCTTGATGRAGTTTTCCAACCTAAATGAATCAATGATTGTGTGATTTTTTGATTTATACCAATAGATTGCCTGTGCCGGGGTTCACAAGGCCTGAGTGGGCGATGAAAACACCCTCTGGGCTGCTGAGGAGCAGCCAAGTGACCAGCACTGACAATCAGCAAGGAGAGCCCCTTGCAGCAGAGTGAAAAATCACGCCACGAAACATTCCACATATTAAGGTGGCATGGGCACCTACAGCTGCTCACCCACAGGGTCCAAGTCCCCAACATGATGGATTACAGCTCACAGGTAATGAACAGAGCAGTGCAAAACCCCTCAATGAACGTCTGTCACTCACAGCCCAAACCCACCGGGCGCTGTCACAGCTCTCACCACAAACCCCAAAAAGCAATTAAACTCACAGCCTCAGAGCAGGGTGCATGTGCAAAGGCACAGGCTGTGAGCCYCTGGGCCACCTGAAAGCCAGCCCTGCTCTGATCCACATCTGCACCACSATTTCCATCTTCACACAGCTCGTGTTTCTGTAATTATTCTGCAAAAAATACTGGCGGGCTTTGCAGCAGCTCACTGCATCCAGCATCACACACAGGGCTTGAAACTGTGATGACTGCAGGGCAAGTAACAAGTCAGCAACAGTGCTGGGAGGAGACCCAGGCTACAAATTCCCAACCTTCTTTCTTTAGAGCCTCAGAGAGCCACTTAATTTTCTTCTTCACAGCTAACAAGCCACCAGCAGTGCAGGTTTCAGAAATGGCAGGTGACATGGTAGCCTAAATGTCACTCCAAAACCGACCATTCCAACTCTTAAGGATGTGAATGAGCTTGAGGGAAGTACCTGTGTGGATGATGCACCTAAGTGCTAATAATTATTTCACTAAGCATTAGCTTTAGGTGATGAACTCAAAAAGAGAAAATTCCAAATCATCATCAATCACCATTTGCCTAACCTGGCACCTAAATACGAAATAAACAAATGTTATTTCTGCTCAACAAATGCCATTTGGGTGTAAATAAACTCAGTTTTGTCCATGTGACAAGAGTGGAACTCAGGTAATTTTACCAAATGCACTGGGTAAAGCTGATAGGATGGGGGGACCTGGCTAAGCTGCTTTTGTCTGTGACACTCAGAAAAGCTGCACTCCAGGATGGTTGCTCTGTGTCCCCAAACCCAAACCCCACCTTCAGACTGTGAAATGCCCMCTTTTAGCCCATCCTGCTCAAGACCACTGGATTAATAAAACTTGAAATCCAGCAGCTTACATGGTATATATAGAAAAGAGCAAAAGGCTCTCACTGGAGCCTGATTTTCAAATTTGAGGTTAATTTTTAAATACTCTTAAAATTCAGAGCTTTTTTGGTTCAGGACAGTCAGATGCACCCAAATTACTGCAACTTGGCGCAAAAATCAGAACTAAGTCTGAATGCTGAGAAGCTGCAAAGTTGAGAGGCTGATTAAAAACACTGACCACTTAATAAATTATTGATCKGAGCCTCCTTTAACAGCAAAAGTGTGAAATGCTCTTCCCTTCAGTCCCATCTCTCCTGCTTTATCCTAATAAAGGAYACAGAAGAAGCAGGCCCCATCTGGTATGA